GCCACTTTAGTCGGGTCAACTTTTTTGCCACGCTACCTCTCACGATATAGACTCGGCAGTTGTCCGAAAATGACAACGTTCAACTTAATGAAAAAATGACACCTGTGCTGACAAACAATTCGCCTAACCACCTTTTTTTCTACGTCACTGGCGTGAGTGTTTGGTGCCAGGGGAAAAGATTCATTTGACCCCCCCCCCCCCCCCNAAGCCCATTCGGTGCCCACTAGTTAGGAGCCGGGGACATATGCCCCATCAGCCCACCTTAGCCACGCCTCTTTCTACTGGCACCCTACCCCACTCGAAAATCTCAAGTCGCCCCCCCCCCTTTTGTTTTTCTCCTCTGGGAAAATGGTCTTAAAGAAACACTGATTGTAATATCTCCGTAGGTGACTCATGAGTTCACCATTTAGAAAGCTTGTCCTATTCACAGTAACATCTTAAGGGCGAGTAAACCAAAACACGTAGTAAATGTGAAACAAAATCATTGTTTACCCCCCTCAGCGACCATGAGGTCATACTACGAAATGACACAAAATCTATTTTCGGAGAGCAAAGAGCATAACGGGTTGGCGCATATCATTTCCGCTTTCATATCATTTGTGGTTGTCATGGTTAGCCCGAGTAAACATAAATCGGATGACGGGACAGTTGATTGAAAGGAAAGAAATTATTCAGAGCAATAGAATCCATTTTGTTTTGAAAACTACATTAATAGGTCTCTTTTAATAAACTCTACTTAACTAAAGGGAATCAAGTTTAGAAACAACAAACATGATTTTAGGGACCAACTCCAATTGGTAACAGAAGGCGGCAACAACGGGCGAGCTACTCTGTTTCACAAACATTGGAACGTACCCCATGTAGGGGTCTCCGCTGGTTTTAAACTGGCTCTAATTCTAAATGTCTATGATAAAAATGTATCTCATGTTTATGGGCGGACCGTTGTTGACCGTCATGATTTTACCTTTGCGCCGCAGTACCTGAATCATTGTGGCTATGCCACCGTCGTTACGCCATTATGGCTATGCCACTGTGTTTACGCCATTATAGCTATGCCCCTGTCGTTACGTCATTATGGCTATGCCACTGTGTTTACGCCATTATAGCTATGCCACTGTGTTTACGCCATTATAGCTATGCCCCTGTCGTTACGTCATTATGGCTATGCCCCTGTCGTTACGCCATTGTGGCTATGCCCCTGTCGTTACGCCATTATGGCTATGCCCCTGTCGTTACGCCATTATGGCTATGCCCCTGTCGTTACGCCATTATGGCTATGCCCCTGTGTTTACGCCATTATAGCTATGCCACTGTGTTTACGCCATTATAGCTATGCCCCTGTCGTTACGCCATTATAGCTATGCCACTGTCGTTACGCCATTATAGCTATGCCACTGTGTTTACGCCATTATAGCTATGCCACTGTGTTTACGCCATTATAGCTATGCCACTGTGTTTACGCCATTATAGCTATGCCCCTGTCGTTACGCCATTATAGCTATGCCACTGTGTTTACGCCATTTAGCTATGCCACAGTCGTTACGCCATTTAGCTATGCCACTGTATTTACGCCATTGTAGGTATGCCACTGTCGCTACGTCTTTATAGCTATGCCCCTGTCGTTACGCCATTATGGCTATGCCCCTGTCGTTACGCCATTGTGGCTATGCCCCTGTCGTTACGCCATTATGGCTATGCCCCTGTCGTTACGCCATTATGGCTATGCCCCTGTCGTTACGCCATTATGGCTATGCCCCTGTGTTTACGCCATTATAGCTATGCCACTGTGTTTACGCCATTATAGCTATGCCCCTGTCGTTACGCCATTATAGCTATGCCACTGTCGTTACGCCATTATAGCTATGCCACTGTGTTTACGCCATTATAGCTATGCCACTGTGTTTACGCCATTATAGCTATGCCACTGTGTTTACGCCATTATAGCTATGCCCCTGTCGTTACGCCATTATAGCTATGCCACTGTGTTTACGCCATTTAGCTATGCCACAGTCGTTACGCCATTTAGCTATGCCACTGTATTTACGCCATTGTAGGTATGCCACTGTCGCTACGTCTTTATAGCTATGCCCCTGTCGTTACGCCATTATGGCTATGCCCCTGTCGTTACGCCATTATGGCTATGCCCCTGTCGTTACGCCATTATAGCTATGCCACTGTGTTTACGCCATTTAGCTATGCCACAGTCGTTACGCCATTTAGCTATGCCACTGTGTTTACGCCATTGTAGGTATGCCACTGTCGCTACGTCTTTATAGCTATGCCCCTGTCGTTACGCCATTATGGCTATGCCCCTGTCGTTACGCCATTATGGCTATGCCACTGTAGTTATGCCATTATAGCTATGCCACTGTAGTTATGTCATGGTAGCTATGCTACTCTGGTTATGCCATGATTGCTATGCAACTGTAGTTATGCCATGATTGCTATGCAACTGTAGTTATGCCATGGTAGCTATGCAACTGTAGTTATGCCATGGTAGCTATGCCACTGTCGATACGCCATTGTAGCTATGCCACTGTAGTTATGCCATGGTAGCTATGCCACTGTAGTTATGCCATGGTAGCTATGCCACAAACATGTTTTCATAAAGTGCGTCTGAAAAAATGTTTCCATTGATTATTTATAAGTACGTTTTCGTGCTGCCCCTACCCCCAGGTCTACCTTATCTGCGTGTACAGACAGCACACCGTCGCACGTTTCAACTTGCAACTTGTCTAACTGACACAGGCAGGGTCGTTATTTTAGTTTTTTTTAAGTGGGGGGGTAAGTTTTTTTTATTACAGTACATAGCAATTTCAATAAAACCCGAAAATTCAAACGGGGGGAGTGGAAAAATATCTCACCCTGCCCTACCCAAATGACGTCCTGGACAAAGGTTGGCATAATGGGTTCCTTTTAGAATTCTTCCATAGAAAGATTTGCGTCGTGTTCGCAGAGTCCTGACTTTACGTGTCGTGTTGCTAGGGTCCTGACTTCACGTGTCGTGTTGCTAGGGTCCTGACTTCACGTGTCGTGTTGCTAGGGTCCTGACTTCACGTGTCGTGTTGCTAGGGTCCTGACTTTACGTGTCGTGTTGCTAGGGAAGTGACTTCACGTGTCGTGTTGCTAGGGTCCTGACTTCACGTGTCGTGTTGCTAGGGTCCTGACTTTACGTTTCGCGTTGCTAGAGTCATGACTTTACGTGTCGTGTTCCTAGAGTCTTGACTTAGTAACTTAAGACTCTACCTTATCCTTTCATTTAATCTAAAAAATGATTTGCCTCACTCGTTCATTTACCCCATGCAACGGCAATGTTCTGTAAAAGATTAAATCGTGGAGTGCTTACGATGACATATATTCTGAAACACAAAATTATCTGGGATTTAGTCAAACTATTTGAAGTAATTTACAATCTAATAATTTATTTTTTCCCAAATTTTCTTTAAAGACTTTTAAAGAGTTTATTTATTCCGTTTCTGCAGAACCGTATTATTCATCAATCAGACTAATCACGTACTTAGGACCAGGGCTACCAATCAATTTTTTAAAAATTCCCAAGATTTTGTCAAAATTTTTCCCAAGATTTCCCAAGATCATGATAATATTTAAGAGTTGTGTTTAAAAGGTCTTATGATTTTTTTTTTTTAAAGTGAGTTTTGTCCTGAATGGGGTAGTGAATTCTCAAGATCTTGGGAAAATTTCCAAGGTGTGGCAGCTCTGCTTAAGACATCAGGGCCGTATTATTAAACAATCAGACTAGTCACATACTTAGGACACTAGGGCCATATTAAACCATTTAGCAGTCTAAGCAGCCTGGCCCCGGAGACCCTAGAGCACCTGTTGACTGAATGTCCCTCACTAGATCTCCCGGGGGAAGCCAGGGCGTTTGGAGGATCCTTTGTGAGGGAAATGTTGTATGGCTCAGCTCAACAGATGGAGTTGATAGCCAATTTACTAGCCGGGGTCATAAGAGAGTAATCTCAGACCCTCACCAGAATATGTGTGTTAGTTTGCAGACTAAGCACGTACTCCAAGGCCAAAGGGGGCAAAACAAAGTTGAGGAATAAAAAATAGAAATAAGATATACTAAACAAATTGATAAAACGAGTACACATTGATCATCATGTTCTGCTTTTTGATTGTCAGAAATGTACATTTTCTTGGCCCATTCGTTATTTTAGCCAGGACAATGCTTAACTGTTTTAATGGTATTATGTAAAATACCTTTTTATTCGGCCTAGGCTCTGCTACGTCGCTTTTGAAACTGTCCTTTTTATTACTATGGTGCCTCCTAGGGTTGTTTCAGGCATCGCCACTTTATAGCTGGTTTTTCATTATTATTTAAAAACTTCCACATGGAGTATTCTAAGACCACTGCATTGGTAAGTTTGGAAGCTTCATTATTCTTCTCCTATATATTAAGGGCCCGCGATAAATTTTTTGATCATTTTGGCTCATATGCATTTAGAGGGGATTTTCAATGTTTCTGTGCCTGGTGTTGATGAGGACCTATCACTGATTTCCAGTGCCACTTTGTGAGGGAATCATGCAATGGGGGTTTGAGGGCTTGAGGCAATAGACACAAATGAGTCTAGTGTTGTCGCCTCAACTGTTCCCTTTGATCCTGTAGTTAGGTAGCATAAAATAGTTGTCTCTTATCTCTCGACCCTTTTTGCGACTTTTTGTGAAGTCAACTCCAGCTCTCATGACAGTCAATTCACTGACCTTCTCTGATTTTGTTTAAAATTTCAGCCCCAAGTATCGTCACAAAATGAAGCGTCATCATTTTAGTGGTGCACAAAAAAGAGAAGACACCCAAAATGAAAAGGAAAGGAAGGGACACCAAGATTTGTCAGTGCTGAGGGCACATGTGAGCCTTACTCCGCCTCTGGGTTCCTGGTCTGTGTATGTTGTGAAAACTCGTGTTAACTTCCCCGGAGCTTGTCTGGTTCATGTTTCTGGAATTTTATTGATTTCCAGATCAATGCTACCAGCGAGAACTTGTCATAGAAGTAGGCAATGGGTTACAGGGTCCTGAGAAGGGTGCATATAAACATTTGAGTGCCTAGCAAAGTAACATCTCAGGAATATGTAACTGCACACATGACTTCGATCAACTGACTGGTTATGTTGGGTTATTCAACTTTTGGTTTTCCGAGCTAATAAGGTTTATGAACGGAAAGATTCCCTTGAAATTAAGTGAATGAATGTTTAAAGACTCAGAGAACATAATTTTGTTTCGACAAGAAGGACACTACGCTTTAAAAAAAAGTAAGTATTTATGTAATATCTATATAGCCAGTAGTGCAACATAGATATTCACTTCAATCTCAATAACAAACGCTATCACAAAAAAATATTCTTTTGATAAAACAAGAACAACAAGTAGGAAACAAGTCTGGATAGAAGAAACCAATTGACCGTATGGCAGCAATATTATTATTATTACTATTATTCGTCCTTCACATGCGCATATGACCAGGGCATAGACTTGAGTTGTAGCCTTGACTTGATCTGCACTTTGTTTCAAGTAAGGGTGAGTTTATCCGCCTCAATCTCTCGACATTGTCCAGTTCTTCTAAAGGCAAGACTTAGTCAAGACGACTGGAAGTAGACCATTGATGTAGCAGATGACCAGAAGTTTTAATTTTTGTTTGTGTTATTATGTGCTCTCTATGCATTCCACGTCAAAGGAGTTGCCGGAATTTTTACTGTGTTGTGTTGATCCGCCTACAGGACTCCCTTTCCCGGTTTGAATTCAGAATTTTTATATTCTTAGATTAGTTGGTATCTAAAGTCACCGAGACCCACCCCCCAGACGAAAGTATGCTACAAACAGACTCCCTGATAACTTTTGAATTGTCGCACCTCTTACCCTATACTGTAAACAGTGAGTAAAACAGATTCATGGTTGTTTTAAAAACATTACAAAACCTAGAAGTCTACAATATTATTTATTTCTAGAAAATTGTATCTTTTTTTTTTTTTTACAAAGGACTAAATTTATATAAATAATTAAGATCATCCATGTTAGATAAGTGCTAACAATTTCTTGAGGGGAACTTGTTGAAATCAATGACTTTTAAGATTTACTTAAATCTCTTTCAATTAAAATTATTTCAAAACTCAAAATGTCTACACTTCTGCGTTTTATTGAACGGACTGATTTATTAAACTTTGAAAGATTTCGCCATTTATTATTTATATTACCACAAAGATTAGTAAAAGAAAGGTTTATTATATCTACATAAAATTTTACATTCAAATAAATTATAGAACTCTAATCATTTCAGAGCCAAAAATCAGAAGAGCTATGATTGCCATCCATAGAAAAGAAACTAAGGTAAAAGTATATAAATAATGCATACCATTGATGTAACTGATGTTTCTTAAAACCATCTTTGTCACCTTATATTGAATTAGGCATCTCCTGTCTTTCTTTATTTTCAGGAAAAGAATTAATTAATTAGTTTGACGAAATAAATAACGGATTAAAGATAATGTACTTCGGTTGATAATAAGCAAAGTCTTACTGTGTCCGCGTTAAATGTTAAGGAGCAGAATAAATGAGAGCCTAAATAAAGAAAACAGACTATGAGATGAACGTTTCGACTAAATGCCTACCTCTGCTAACATATTTTTTTTTAAATCGACAATATGAATTTAGCTGGCATTTGCGAAAGAGACTTGAGAGAGAAAAAAAAATTAATTCAACACTGGAACTTTATCAAGGTAGAGGGTAATACAGTCTACCATTTTTTGGGTAACAAGGTTAATATAGCAATCAACGTTTAAAATTGATTAAAAAAATTAAAATAGAATTTGAAAGAAATAATAGATTTTTCCTCAATTTGATTGGTTTCTTAGCGAAGTGATTTTTTTACAGTGCAATTAGTTAAAAACAAATACTCAATATTTACCAGATCTTGGAGTCCAAACACTTGAAACGCGTTGTGTTAGCCAGCATTATAACACACAGATGTTTAACAAAAGTTCTGGTAAAATTAATCTAAAACCTAGTTTTAATAATCTATTGAAAAACCCAGACAACTGTTTGTTTGGGGGGACCAACCTTCCGCTGAGCGTGATTCACTGATTACTAATACAGTTGTTCATATTCCAAAAGGTGGTTTGACGTCTTGGGTGCACACTAGCTCAAAACACCGGCATCTTACCCACTAAGGTGTCATCATGATCAAGGATCGTCGGGACGAACGTGTGAACGGGTCCATGGATGGTGCAGACTGCTGGTCAGACCATCACCTTATCAACACCAAGCTCAATAGTCACTCCAAAAGAACGTCAAGGCGAAGAAGACCCTAGAGGGACTGAACAGCAGAAAGTTGAATTGCCCCACAATCAAGAAATCGTTCGTGGGTGCTCTGGGGGAGTGTGTGGAATTCATATTTCTGGACATTCATAATGTTAAAAACCACTTAGGATCATTCCGATCATGACTGCAAAACACCACGATAAGGATTCTGTGACCAAACACCAACAAATATCAAGACGAATGTAATGAAAAAAATTTATTGTTATCAATTCCGTGATGGTATGCAGGCTGGGCTTTGTTGAAATGAAGATATGTCTAAACCTTAGCATGTGGCTAATGGCTCACTTCAGTCGCTATTACACTTCTCGCTAAGACAACAGGGCTCCTGTCGAGTATGGGTAATCACTAATAATTGTTGTGCCCCGAATATATGGTGCTCTATTGTACACGTTGTGCGTGTGTGTTAGTTTAGTTAATGAGTACTTTTCCCGCTTTTGGGTTTGTGACGTGTGGCGACGTATTTTTACCGTAGACGGAATGTGTCTATAGTCTGTCTTTTGGTACACTTCATATTCGTTCGGCAGTTCATTAGAGAACGTTGTGGATGAAGGTCGTACTATATCATTGTAATTATAGTGTTTATTTTCATTTATATTGTTTTTGCTGTAGTTTTTTTTTTACTGAAGAAGGCTTCTTGCCGATACGTTCATTGTTTCGTCGTGTCCTTTTTTTCAGGTTTCCCCGTATATGTTTCCGCTCATTTACTTTTACCTAATTTGATTGCAGTCTCTCCCCCTTATACTTATAGCGAGCAGCGTAATACATGTGTATTGATTCAGTGAACAGGCTGATATATATATGTTTCTGGATTAAAGTTGAGATGGATTGTGTTCATTTCGGTTTGATTACTACGTAGGAACTTGTAAAATAATTTGATGAAATAAACCAATCATATATGGATTGTGAGAGCTTCTTATCACCCTATCTATAGTGGAAGAAATACCACAGGGTTCCCGTAACAAGAAAATCCAACCAATTCAGAGGTGTATCATTGACATATCGATAATTTTGTTCAACCTTTAAAGATGAAGGGTATTTTTTCATATCTGACTTTTAGTGAATGATACTTCGGTTTTTACTAATCTTTTGTTTGTTTTTATTTACAGATAAAAAAGCCATTCATATGTCCTAAGGCTGATCAAGCAAAATGCAAATTTTGTAAATACCACGTTGAGAAGATGCTAAGCAAAAGATATAAAAAACAATATTACGGGAGCACAGTCTGCGAGATAAAAAATGCAGTGTTTTTGTTGTATTGTATTAACTGTGATGAAGTGATGCTCAGTGTTTCCGACATGGACTTTAAATCGCTGGTTTGTATCAATTTTGGATTTCATGGGGTAAAAAACTGTAAATCGGAAGAAAAGTGTCACAATAAAAAATATCTAAGATGTATGATGATTGATCATGTTGATAGTGACATATCAGACTGGGTAGAAGATTTACAGATAAAACAGTATGAGATAGTAGTAAGATATAGCTTTGAAGAAAGGCTGTTATATGAAGAATACCATTACATGGACGATTCTGAAGTTGAGGCACTTTGTCCAGAAGTTCGTTCGTTTCCTTATGATACCAGAAATGTTGTATATTTGATTCATTGTTATAATTGTGACATAAAATACGTGGGTAAAACAAAAAAGACGTTTATTGGGAGATATCCATGTTTTTACACTGACAAGGGTTACCAAGGTATGACATTTCACGAACATACTGAGGCCGTGGGCTCTGTGTGTACGTTTAGGGATCTGAGATGGACAGTGATTGATGCGCTTAGTGACCAGCAGAAACGTTTTGCAGGCAAGTGGAACGCTGTATTTAACACTTGTAATGTTAGTATAAGGAATAAAATATGGAAAGTAATGACTACACAATGTCTAGCTTCGTTGAAAGACGAATTGATGGAAAACGTATGGCATGATTGTTCAGTAGACGAAGTAACAGATTTGCTAAATGATATACAAATAACTCGAAATTTCAATGAGCAGTATCTGGACTGTGAAAACAAGAAATTGTTTCCCACTACAGAACGTTTATTCCTTGAAAAAAGGGAAGAATACTGGATGAACGCGTTAAGAACCACTTACAAACTTCTTAATAAGATAGCTGCTTCACAATCAATAGTCCAGCCCGCCAGTTTCTTGGGTAATTTTTTTAAGACACTGGGAAACTATGACGACAATGAAAATTGAGTGCCGTCTTAAAGAATGAGCCCACTGGGCATTGGCATAGGGCCTCACGCTTGTAGGGGGCCTAACGCATTTAGGAGACTCACTCGTTTAGGGGCATCTTGTTTTACATATTGCTAATGCATATTGAAATATTTTGGCCATTTAACCCACGATATCATTGGCATTCCAAAATAATATTATAAATGCGAATCAAAATTTGGATACTTCTTTAAGGGGTATAACTCTCCTCCACAAGTTTTACTTTGCCGAGATACTAATCGAAAAAAAATTTAAGTAAGACTTACAGTGTCGTCTTAAGGAATGGGCACACTGTGCACTTGTCCAGGGTGTCACGCCTCTAGATGACGTTCTGCTCGAGGGGGGCCCTCATGCCACTGTGGGGCCTCAAGTCACCATGCAGCCCCATGCCTCTAGGGAACCTCACGCATCTTTGGCGCCTCACAATTCTGGGGGCATTATGTTGCCATTATTATTAATGAATATTTCGGACGATTTATTTTGCTTTCAAAGCCAAAGCGGAAAAACCGTTTCTCCAGTTTATTTAATTTTTTTTCGATTCTCACATCATTTAGAATTTTTGTTACTACTTGATGAGAGAACGTTTGCGCCAAAATGCATAGCATCATTTTGAATTTATCAAAACTCTACTTGGAAGGGGGCTTATTGAGACCTCTCTCCAAACATCAACCCCAATTTCGTTAGGCGCCCTGACACTCTTCTGCCTCCCCATTTAAAATGACAGCACCGACCGACACATTTTAAGCTATTAAAAAAAGTGTTGGATGTAAGTAAATACCCCCAAAAAATAAGTTTAAACGGATAAAAGTATGATCTTCCTTTAGTTTGGTATAAGTAGTTGGACTAACTACAAGGATTCTAGGGACGAAAGTAAGCTGGAGCTAAAAGCCCACCCTCACGCGGATTCACAACCAAATTGAAATTTATGGTTATATATGTTAGTGGCGACGATGTCACAGCTGGCGCTTGCCATCAAAATTCCTAATTTCAGTGCTAATAGATGCCCTGCCCACCCCCCACCCAACCTCTTCCGAAAACCTGAAAGACTACTCAAACTCCCCCGCGGAAAAAGTACCTGAAAGAAACTGGTCAAATTGCACAGGCCAACCTGGGCTTTAATGCCATTTAAACCATGACTTGAATAGTGGTATACAGTGGCGTTTACACAAAGAAGGCGAGGCCCAGGACGCACTGGTAAGGTGAGTTTTTGCATCCCTTTCTTTGTGGAATACATGGGATTGTATCGTTAAACTCACTATTAAGGGTCTATCTTAAGACGGTTTTGCCGCGCCCCTGATTGATTGGTACTTTCGCCACTCCTTCGCACGGCATTGCGCACAGAGAGAGAGAGTCAGGGGCCTCAGTGCATGACTGGTGTCAGGGGCCTCAGTGCATGACTGGTGTCAGGGGCCTCAGTGCATGACTGGTGTCAGGGGCCTCAGTGCATGACTGGTGTCAGGGGCCTCAGTGCATGACTGGTGTCAGGGGCCTCAGTGCATGACTGGTGTCAGGGGCCTCAGTGCATTACTGGTGTCAGGGGCCTCAGTGCATGACTGGTGTCAGGGGCCTCAGTGCATGACTGGTGTCAGGGGCCTCAGTGCATGACTGGTGTCAGGGGCCTCAGTGCATGACTGTGCCAAGGCCTCCGCTGCTGTAAAGACGGTCCTGTGGAAATTTAGTCAATAGATAAAAGGGCGTCCATTTATTTATGTTATGCCTTGAAGTTCGTTTTAGAGTACACCTCTATGACATAAATCAACAAACCCTTTGTCCGGTTTCCAAACATTTAAATAGTACTAACCATGATGTAATTTTAGATGATGCTGTTACTGGTAAATTGTATACAAGTAATACACCGGGTAGAATTTATATGGAGAAAAAAAAATTAATAGCAATATTTGGTACGTTGACTCCATACGGCAGAAACCAAATCCACAATTTTATGTAGCTGCCATATGTTTTTTCTGTTTGATTTTTTTACATTTTAATTCAAATTAAATCACTTCACTTCCGTCTTCTTTACTTTCTCTTTGTCTGAGTTATGCGCCCACTCTTTTTCTTTTCTATTTATAGGTAGGATACATTTATATGTTATGTCAATTTAATTTTTACTAATTTAAATGTTACTTCTTTGTTTTTTTTCTCTTTTTTTTTTACCGAGGAAGGCATTTGCTGAAACATTTACTTTTGTATTTTGTAAAATTATCATTAAAGCTAAACATATATTTATTCTACTTTAAAAAAAAGTTTGTATGTCATTTAGTTTTACACATAAATGTAATATTTTTACATTGTAAATGTCCAATTATATATATATATATATATATTTATATTATCCCTTTTTCATAACAGATGTCTCAATCGTTATGTGCATTTGTATTTGCCTTTAATTGCAAACATTTGTGCATCCATGTGCTAAAGTTCTTATTTTTCAAAGTGTGATATTAAAATAATTCTTTCAAATTCCCTTTTTCTACATTAATCCATAACATGCATATTAATTTTCATTTATTTAAAAGATGTACTTAATATTTAAATACTGGAGCCAATAATAAAATAAAAAAAAATTAAAAAAAAATTAATGTTGTCATCACCAAATAACACGTTTTTGAAGCAATCCGGAATCGACAGTCTCATTTTTTTAGGTTAACTTTGGATGATCATTGTACTTTAGACTATGAATTTGTTCGAACTGAGTTCCCGGCTTTTATGGATAACCATAATCTCTGTAGCAGACTAGTCTTTGGTTTGTTGTCTCGATGTCTGCCATTGTACAAGATGGCGGATGAGATGGCGTATAAAATGGCGGATACGTGGGTTCAAATCGGTTCAAGCCCACGACCTCCAGTGCCATTTAACCACTGAGAATCACGACAAAACCCAAGGTTATCTGTACAAAAGAAAATATTTCACATTTATCACGCCTTGAATTCCTAAGATTTTTATATGATTATTTTTATTTAAACTTTTTAAAAATGTAAAGTGGGAACCCTAGGTGTATTCATATCATACATGTGTGACATACATTTTTATTTAGCATGATCTTGCTCATAGATGTTGTCATAGTAAAATGTAAATAGTACCGTGGAAAATTTTTTTTAGGGGAATGGTAACAAGGAACGCAATCTTTGCAGTAGATTTAGTAATCTGGTGCTCGCGAAAATCCATCCAGCAACTGCAGAGCCGGCTGCAGACAGACCTTACTACGATACACCCCTACGCCAGGCAGTGGAGATTGGGCGGTAAATTGTGGAGAAAACAGTCTATTGGCTATGTACCAATGGAAAGAATGCTCTCAACGAAGACATAGATCTTCATATTTGTGGGAAATCGCTCAAGCGGGACAAAACATCTACGTTTTTTGGAATAAAGTTTGACCAGAAACTCCAACTCCACAACCGTAAACGTGAACTCGGCGCTCGTGCCGCCACGTCTACATTCAGCCTGGTTAACAAACTGGCAAGCACTACCTGGGGTGGTGACGCAAGCTTCCTCAGAACACTATACCTGGGGAGCTAGAGAGGGGCATTGGACTATAGCCTCCCGGTACCAGCCTTCGCAAGCCAAATGGCTATAGAGTGCCTGGAGCGATTACAAAACCTAGCTCTCGGTTTTGTATGTGGGCGTTACGTACTACATCCACGGCTGTGTGGAAATACTGTCAGACATACAACCACTCAATATCAGGTGGGACTAAGTAATCTTAACGATAGTGGAGCCTTACCGTCGAATGGAAAGTACGGAAATCTGTTTCCAATTACAAGACCGTTTGGTAAAACTGACAAGGCTAAAAGGACCCTCCTTTATGGATGCGGTCAATTCACTAAAGAATAAGCACCTTTTACCAGGAAAATCGAACAAATAAGCTTGATCCAGGAGAGATCACCACACGAAAGCTGTGAACATCCAGATATTCGTATGTCCCTGAAAAACGCGGAAGTTACTAAGTAAAGCTCCCAAAATGAGCAAACGGAGGCCGCACTTCAGACTAGCGAGTCGTATTCGGACGCTGTGGTTAAAGTCTTGACAGACGGCTCCTATCTAGCCACCAAGAAGCAGGCCGGCTACGGTGCACTCATACAGTACCCAAAGGGGTTACCTCCAACTGAGGAGGTTTCGGGGCCAAAAGGAATAAATAGGACTGCAATTGACGCAGAAATTGATGCTATCCCAATGGCCATGAAACAAGTACGCTGCAACACGTCCATCTCTCGTAGTATTCACCAACTCACAGTGTAAGTAGGTGCTCTTTGAACACGATAATGGTCAATGCAATTCAGGAGCTCATACGAGACCTACGTCACATGGAGGCACAGAGGTCCTTCAGTGGATCCCGGGACATGCTGGAATTACTCCCAATGATAGATCTGACTGTCCAGTGAAACAAGGCTCTGCCCAAATACAACCTAACCGGTCGATTACCTAACTGGGGCTCAAGAGGAGTAGTTGACAAAGTGAGCAAAATGTCGTCTAAAACTCAACCACCAGAGCATCCTAACACAAATGAGGACTGAGCACTGCCCTACCCGGAGCTATCTGAACGGATTACATCGGCTTCGGGGCCCGGGCTGCTGCCTTCGTGGCAAGGTGCCGGAGACAGTCGAGCACTTACTAGCCGAGTGTCCGACGCTAACGATGGGTATAACTGGGGTTTGCTCTCAGCCAACATCCTTGATCATCTTATTTACGGTACAGCTCAATAAACCTGTCCGGAGGTCACCAAGGAGCAATAGCTCGTTCCCAAAAAGTGAATGAAATATTTAATTTGGCCTCTTTAATTATGAAACTAAATTCCCCCAAGTCTGTTATTTATAGCGGCCGCTTTCCCCATAACGTTTTTATTCAAAGAAAACGTTGTCTTAAAACTCTTGTCTGCATTAGATGACGTAATATCGTATGTTTCTGTAGACTCTTGCAGACTTAAGTTTTATACTTTAAGCCATTGGCGCATGATTTACTTTGTTTGCATCAGTTTTATTTGCAAATGTTTTGTAACGAAATGACATAATACATTTACTTAATCTAAGTTTTCCTAAATTTAACCAGTTAGAAACTTGTGTTATGTGTTTTCAGTGATATGTGATAAATGTGTTAGTCTAATTGAGAGTTTTTTTATCGGTAAGTTTTTTTAAATTGGTAATGTACATTTCCTTCTTAAATTTCATATTTGTTCCACCATGTGAATTAACTTTTCACTGTAAAAACTTTCTTTAAATATTTTTAACTTTTCAAGAATTATTTAGAAAATAGTGTTTTCTTCTTAATATATCACTTTTAATAGAAATAGCATTGAACTTATACAATATCAATATTTTTTTTTAATTGACTAATAAACTATTATTTGCAATCGTTAAAATTCTTTAATTCTATTATTTCACTCCGCCATTGCCATGCCATGTGTATTTTTTTTTAATTTTGCGTCATTTCTGTCACGTGTCAACGTGATGACGTAAATAACATCTGTGTATAATACAAAATGTGGGAAAATATAATTAGGGGAAGAAATTTTAGTGTTTTTAGATTCACATTTTGCAAATAACCATTTGAATGTTACATTCATAAATCTGGTTAAGTACTCGGCACGTTCCCACTGACAGGGAAGAAACTTGTGATAATGGAGTAAACAGAGAAAAAATCTACTCTACCATCAAGGGTTCTTAACCAGAGATGGCCGCAACCCTTGGTGTCGGGGGTGAACGGGGAAACCCCTACATTTTTAATTACTGCCATGACTAGTTGGTGCGGTAATTAATTATATATAATATATATATATTTATTTATTTATTTATATGTATTTTTACTTGCATGAGCAGAAGCAGATGTTTATGTAATGGAATTTTTGCGCATAATTTTTAACTGTGTAATTTTTAAATTTGTATCTTTAAATTAAATTAGAAAAATTACCCTAACTGAACTGATTTTTTTTCTTAATTAATTTATTAATTTGATTTAAATAATGTTTACAAGAGTTGATGGAAGAGGTTCGGTGAGACTTTTATTGAGATGGTTTCAAAATATTTTAGAAGCTGGGGATCAGATATTGTACGTGATAGATTTAAATCGACTTCTAAATCTCACATACTACAAGTTCTTCGTGGATGGAAAACAACTTTTGGTGTGATGAGAGTACAAGCACCGTCAGCTTCTATCTTGTCCCCGTTGCCTAGCTCCAGCCACCACCTGTTCCCAATCGTGAACTGAGGACCTACAAGGGAGTCATTGTTTTTTTTGGAATGGTCTTTCAAAACTCTCACTGTACCATAAGACTGCATGTCGGCATGTAACACATGCAATGACATGGAAAATAAATCGTTAACACGCCTACTTTCAATTAGACTTATAAGGCTGATGTCGAAACATTTAAGGAATAACATAGAGACTTATAGAAACATAAGGCAAGTAAAATGGCACCTTGAACACTGCCAAGTCATTACCTTATGCCAGGAAACAATATCTAGAAGAACGCTATAGATTGTGGAATTTATATTGATTATACTCCATGTGCAATATCTAAATAATTTAATTTCAAAATTGAAATCTACTATGGAGTCAAATTTTTGCCAAATGTAACAAAACATGCGTTTGAGACATTGTTATTCTCATAAAATGCACCGACCCATTCAGCTGATGTTAGGCTAAAATACAAACTTGCGGTTGTCCTTCCACACACGTGATATCTAATATATAGATGTGAATAAAATTAATTTAAAAAAAAAAAAAAACGACCATGTCTGTAAACCCCTAGGTACTGTAAAACACCCTCTATGCACGCCCCTGAAAACGTGATAATTCGAAAACCAAGCGAAAATTATTCTTTCATAGATGTTGAAAAGCATATTGTTTGGAATGAAAGCTTATTAAAAATGTGTACACAAAAAATAACTTACCTGGCAAGTCTATCAAAGCCATTGAATATTATAATCATTCTTTTAAATTTTCCAGTGGGGTCGGTAACCAACGGTTAAAAGGGATCCCACTGTCATCGTGATCCCATTGCCATCGTGATCCCATCGGGATCGGGAAAAGGGTTACACGGGATCGAGATCCCATCGGGATTCGTATCCCACTTAGAATCGGGATCCCATTGGATCGCGCTACCGTCGACATGCGGGAATCCACTTGGAATCAGGATGTCATCTGGGTCAGGATCCCAACGGGATCGGCATTC